CATCACCTCACTGGTTACTGCACAGAGGGGGCTGGCCAGCAAAAGGGCCGTGGTGAGGGCAGGACCCACGAGTGGGCAGGGCCAGGCCTGCCAAGGCAAGTGCTAGTAGGGGTCCCTCAATTACGATGCTGGTTTGCCCCACAGATCACCGGTAGGGACCCTACCCATGCATGAATTTCGTGCATCAGGCCTCTAGTATTATATAAATAGAAGCACAGTTTGTGACCTGAGATTGGTGTTTTCCACTCAATGTAATTGCCTTGAGATGCTTTGAAGCTGTTGCATGTATCAGTTGTTCATTCCTTTTTGCTGCTGTGTGGCTGTGCCAGTGTTCAACAGTTACCTGTAGCAGCACATTTTGGTTGTTGCCAGTTTTTGGTGTTTACAAATAAAGCTGCTCTTACAGTTTTTTGTGAACATACATTTAATTTATCTGGGACAAATGTCTAAGAATGAAATGCCATGTGGAGGTGGTGTGTTGTCTTAAAAGAAACTGCCAAACTGTTTTCCAAAATGGCCGGACCATTTTACATTCCCATCAGCAATGAAGGAGATGGACAGTTTCTTCCACATCCTGACAGGCACTTGGTAGTGCACCTGTGTTTTATTAGGCTGTTCTGACAGGTGTGTGAGTGATGTCTCTGATGGTTGACGATATTTAACATCTTCTCAGCATTTATTTCTACTCAGTGAAATGTGTTTTTTGCTCATTTTCTTTTTTTTTTTTTTTTAAATATTTTTGTTGCTTTCAGAGAGGAAGGGAAGAGGGAGAGATAGAAACATAAATGATGAGAATCATTGATCAGCTGCCTCCTGGAGGCCCACTACTGGGGATTGAGCCCACAACCTGGGCTTGTGCCCTGACCTAGAATAAATCATGACCTTCTGGTTCATAGGTCAACATTCAAGCACTGAGCCACACTGGCAGGGCATATGCCATTTTATTTATATATATGTGATGAACCCCATAATACATTATTACCTTTGCTCTAAGCAGTCAATTATCTTTTCAAGAAATTTATAAAATAAGTTACTTAATAGTGTCACATTTATCATGTCTGATGATTTTTATATACTGAACTTCTTCTTATGGCATTTTCCTTCAACCTCCAAGGCTTACTTCAGTGTTTCCGGTAGCATTCTTAAGCTTTCTTAGATGGGATGGGGGCAGCCCTCAGGCCTAATTGTCAGCTGCGCTTCTGACCAACTAGCTATAGATTGAACACCTCCTTGGGTTTGATTGATTTGCTAGAATGGCTTACAAAACTCAGAAACATTTTACACACTAGAGCACCAGTTTACTATAAAATATATATATATATATATATATATATATATATATATATATATGTATATATATATATATAAACTTTATAGTAAATTTTATATATATAAAATTTAGGGTCCTGCTGCAGAGCTCTGTTGGTTAGAGCACTGTCCCAATTATGCCAAGGTTTCAGATTCTATCTCGTCAGGGCACATATAAGAATCAAGCAATGAATGTAAAAACAAGTGGAACAACAAATCAATGTTTCTCCCCCTTCCTCTCTAAAATAAATAATTTTTTTTAAAATGTATAAATAAGTAGAATGACAAACTAATGTTTCTCTAGAATCAAAAAATATAAAAGGCCCTGACCAAGTGTGCTCAGTGGTTTGACTGTCGGCCCAAGTAGTAGCCGGGGTACATGTGTGAGACAAACCAGTAGATGTTCTCTCTGGCATCAACATTTCTCTCTGTCTCTCTCTCTCCTGCTACCCCTTTCCACTCTGGAAAGCAATGAATAAAAATATCCTCAGGTCTGGATTAACAACAAAAACAAACAAAAAGATGTAGAATATGACTCAGGAAGAATGCTCAGGGTAAGGTCTGGGGACAGCGCTTGGAGCTGCCATGCTCAGAGTGTGGCTCAGAGTGCCACGCTCCCCACATCTCCACGTGTTCACCAACCCAGAAGCTCTACACACCTACTTGGGTTTCTATGGAGGCTTCTTTACCTAGGTGGGGTTGATTACACCACTTCCAGCCCCTCTCCCTGATGCCAGGGGGTGAGACTGAAAGTTCCAACCTTCTAGTCACAAGGCTGCTTCCGGAGACCAGTCCCTGTGCTCAGTGAGGTCCAAAGATCACCTCAATGACAACAAAAGACCCACCTCTGTTGCTCTCATCACATGTGAAAATTCCAAGGACTTCAGGAGACTTGTGCCAGGGCCAGTGGGTGAAGACCAAATATATGTTTATTGTGAATCACATCACACCTCTGGTCACTGTCCCAATACTTCTCATTCCCTCCCCAGAATGATCACTCTCCTAGTGAATGATCATCACTAGTGTGTCTTTCCTATTTATTTTGGTAGTTGTCTGTCCCTCCACTAGAATGCTCAGCTCCAGGATGATATTTCTTTCTAGTGCCAAGACAGCAAACCAAAAACTCAGATCACTTTGGTGTCCCTGTTGCTCTGCTTGACCCCCCCCAAAAAATGTGTCTAGCCCCAAATGCCAAGCCCAAACAAGGTTGGCAGCATGGCCCCAGGAAGGCAACCTATGCTGCCTTCTTTAATCACTTTTTAACAGTATACATATTTTACTGCTTTATTCTATGCTGTTTCCCTAGCAGTTAAAACAGCTCCTGGCACATATGTGGCACTTAGTAAATACCATAAGAGGGGATGCCTGAGTGTCATCTTATCCTCAGAGCAAACCTGTGCGAATTCAGTCCACTATTTCTCTGCCTGCCCCAGACTGGGTGGGGACCCACCAGTGACCAGGAGACAAGGCTCAGATCTGCTTCACTCCAAATCCCGGAACCCTACGTCTCCCTTACACTCGATCTCCAGAGAACCACAGCCCAAAAGGCAGCCAGAAGTTTGGGGGCTCAAGTGTCACCCTCTCCCAAGGCAGTTCCCCTGCTGGCTCTTCAGGGAATCTGCTTACAAGCCCAGCCTTATGCCTTCCGTGGGGCGCACGTGACCTGGACTTCGGGATGAGATTCAGGCACAGGACGTGGGGGCAGTGGGGACATCTGAGGACTCGGTGCACATTTGAGGTCCCAGAGAAGAAGAGTCCTGTGTTCCTCCCCCTGCCCTCCCACGAAAGGCCACCTGGAAGGTGTTGCGGGAAGGAGAACGTGGGGGCAGGTGAAAGGTTTGCCTTGTGTGCGTTGGCTCCAAAGCTGTGTCACGGGGCCGGCTCAGGTGTCGGCTCGGAACAACTCCTGCAAGGCGCAGGCTACGCCCGTGGGGAAGTGTCACTGTCATTCCTCAGTTTCAGAGACAGCGTGTCGAGGCTCCGGCTGTCTGACTCACTCACAGGCAGCCTGTCTCTGAAACGCGTGTGTTCCTGTGGCCAGAGCCGGGGGCTTTCTGCGTGCTGCCGGCGGGATGGCGCCCCACTGGACACAGGCCCGTCCCCACCTCGCTCCCCGGAAGCCTCCCACTGGAGGGATCGCAGAGGAGCCGGCGGGAACTCCCGTGCGCTCCGCTGCAGCAGCGCTCACGGCCGCAGGTATTGCAGACCCGACCCGGCTCCGGGGCGACGCCCCTTTCAGCCGGCTACGCCACAGGCGCCCGAGCCCGCGCTCCGAGAGGACCGACGGCGTAAGGCCAGGCCGGCAGCACACGGCACCCACCGGGCCGCGGGGGCCTGAGTTTAGGGTCGGCAGCGAAGAGCAGGCGCGGGACACGAGTGTTCCAGTCGGCCTGGGGATTCGCACGGCTGAGCGCCACTCTTCCCTAGGTGCTGGGATGCCGCCGAGCTTCCCTTTATTTACTTCCGGTGCAGACTGGAGGTCGCCTGGGAAAGCCGGAAATAGGGTTGTAGCTACCGAGCGGGCCGGAGTCAAAAGTGGCTAGCAGGGCGCCGCCATTGCAGGCCAGGGCAGGAAGCAGAGGCAGAGCGCCGCCATGACAGGTCGGGACGGAAGCAGAGGCAGAGCGCCGCCATGGCAGGTAGGGGCGGAAGCAGAGATAGGACCCTGCTTTGACGGACTGGCGCAAAAAGCAATAGCGCCGCTTGGCCGCTGTGTGAACAGAATAAACGAGGCGGGGAGGGCGCCGCCAAGACAACCTGACACCGGAAAAGGCGGGCGCTCCTCCGGACTGGTTCTCCTGGCACCTGCCTCAATATGTGAGTAGCTGGAGCACCTGCCCTTTACCTATCGTACGCACCTTCTCCTGGAGGCTGGGTGGCCTCTGTTCCTTGAACCTCCGACCCTCCGGACTCCGCGCCGTCACCCTTCCCTGCACGTCCAAGCCCCGTGCCCTTCTCCTGGGACCGAGGACTCTCACAGCCAGGCAGGCAGCTCGCGGGACTCCAGGTCCGGCTTGGCCTTGGAGCCCCACGTTCCGCCCCCGGGTCACCCCACCTTCTCTCTTGAGTCCCTCGCATCTACCTCCGGAGCCCAGACCTTCAGGCCGGCGGACCCCTTCCGGACCCTGCCCCTCTCTACGGACCTGTCTCTAGAGCTCACCTGTATATAGAACCCCTTCCCCCAGACGAACCCGGGCCCCCGCCCTACTTGGCGCTTCATGCCCCGAGGACCCTGAGACCCATGAGGGCCTCCAGTGCCCTATCCTCAGGCCTCCGCTCAGAGACAATGGGCCCCAACCCCACTCCCACCTGTTGGCTCCTATTTCCCCCCCACCCCCACCCCCCGAGCTCTGGGTCCTACTTCTAAGGCCCCATAGCTGGGTGGTTGAGCTCCAGGACCCTCTGCCCAGACCCTAACCGCTATTAGAGTGACCAGATCTGTTCAAGGACCCTCACCATCAATCCCGAAGGCCCTGGCCAGCTCCATAGCCCGGCACCGCACCCCGCGGCCCCCCGCGGCTGGATCGTCAGACTCAGGGGCCCACCTCACACTCTTCACCCCTACCCTCGTGTCCCGCAGGCAGGCGGCACTGGAGGTTACTGCCCGCCACTGCGGTCGGGAGCTGGACCAGTATGGCCAGTGTGTGGCCGCCAAGCCCGAGTCCTGGCAACGGGACTGTCACCACCTCAAAATGAGCATCGCTCGATGCACTTCTAACCAGTGAGTGCGGGACAGCCCTGGACTGGGCAGTTCGGAGGGGGCTAGGAGTGCAGGAGGGGCAGGCAGCACGGGGGTGGGCAGTGGGGGAGCTAGTGCAGGAGTGGGTAATTCGGGGGACAAGGCAGTACCAGAGGTGGGGCATTGGGTGGGGGTGGACAATGGGATGGGTAGTGCCAGGAAAGTCGAGCTTGCAGTGCCTCCCTGCAGCCCAGTCATCCGCCAGATCCGCCAGGCCTGTGCGGAGCCCTTCGAGGCCTTTGAGGCGTGTCTTCGGCAGAATGAAGCGGCCACAGGCAACTGTGCAGGGCAGATGCGCCGCTTCCTGCAGTGCGCTGAGCAGGTGCAGCCGGCCAGCCCACCTGCCACTGTGCAGGTAAGACCTGAGTCACCCTCAGCCCACCCTCCCAGCACTGGCCTTCACATGCGTCCAGAATCCACAACACTCTCGCCTCTTGCCCCCTCCATAGCCCCTGCTTTAGTCCAGCCACCTGTCCTCCAGGACACCTGTCCCATGGTCCCCTGGCCTCTGTGAACCCCCACAGTACCTGCCTCCACACAGTGGCCAGAGAGCACGTGAGAACTGAGAACTGGTCACATTACTCCTTTGATGTTGTTCCTCAACAGCTTCCTGTTCACACTGAGGAACAAAACTCCAGGTTTGGGCAGCTTCTGGCTTCCCCAGGCTAACTGTTCAATCTCCTTCACCCTGCCCCTCAGCTGTCCTGGCAGGTGTGAGGTTGGGGTAAAAGATTCTTACTCTGTGTGTTTGTTTGTTTTAGGTCTTAGTCTTTTTTTTTTTAAATATATATTTTATTGATTTTTCACAGAGAGGAAGAGAGAGGGATAGTCAGAAACACTGATGAGAGAGAGAATCATCAATCAGTTGCCTCTTGCACATCCCCAGTACATGCAACCAAGGTACATGCCCTTGATTGGGATCGAACCCGGGACCCTTCAGTCTGCAGGCTGACGCTCTATCCACTGAGCCAAACCGGTTTCGGCAGGTCTTAGTCTTTTTAATGTATATGGTAATTGAACAGATATAGTATTTCTATGGTAGTACAGTTTCATGGGTGGGCCTGGGAAGTGTGGCTCAGTGGTTGAGCATCAACTCATGAACCAAGAGGTCAAGGTTCAATTCCCAGGTTGCAGGCTCAATCCCCAGTAGGGGCTGTGCAGAAGGCAGCTGATCAATGATTCTCATTGATTTTTTTTTTTTTTTTTAAATAGAAACATCAATGAGAGAGAGTCATCGATCAGCTGCCTCTCGCACACCCCCTACTGGGGATGTGCCGGCAACCAAGGTACATGTCCTTGACCGGAATCGAACCCGGGACCCTTCAGTCTGCAGGCAGATGCTCTATCCATTGAGCCAAACTGGTTTCGGCCTCATTGGTGTTTTTATCTCTCTTTCCCCCTCCCTTCTTTATTTAAATATATAAATTTAAATAAAATAAAATTTTCATGGATGGGCACAATCCTATATAATAAAAGCCTAATATGCAACTCAACTGAACAGCAGAACGACTGATCGGCCTGATCATTGGCCAGGCCTCGGGACCCTACCCATACACGAATTTCGTGCACCAGGCCTCTGGTTTAAAATAAATGTCTAAAAAAGACTCCTTAGGGGGGAAATTTTGAAAAAATTTGAGAAACTCAGTTGAGAAACTCAGTTTAGATGTTTAAGAGAGTGTGAGCTCCAAAGGCAAAGATCACCTCTTCACCAGCCCTTCTGGTACTCTCATCTGCCCCTCTCTGCAGCCCTGTCTTCCCTTCTTGCTCCCAGGGGAGTAGCTTTCTCTTGGCCTCCATGTTTTTGTCCTTCCACACCATTCATTTTCTGGGATGGTCTCCGAGTGTTGCAAGCCAGTCAGCCGGGGTTCTGATTTACTAAAACCCTTTCCATAGACCAGGTCTCAACTCGGTGCTGCCTACGGGCCCTCCCCCTTCCTTCAGTCCTGTGTTCCAGATCCAAGGAATGGGAACTTAATTGGCTGCCATGTTTTTATCTAGCTGTTTTTTCCACTTGGACTGCCACCTAGTCCTGCTCACCTCCCTCAGAAAACCTCTGTGGCTGAAACCGGTTTGGCTCAGAGGCTGCTGATCGATGATCTCTCTCATCGATGTTTCTGGCTCTCTATCCCTCTCCCTTCCTCTTTGTAAAAAATCAAGAAAATATATTTTAAAAAAAATTCTTCTCAGAAAATATATTTTTTAAAAAATATATTTTATTGATTTTGTACAGAGAGGAAGGGAGAGAGATAGAGAGTTAGAAACATCAATGAGAGAGAGTCATCGATCAGCCGCCTCTTGCACATCCCCTACTGGGGATATGCCCGCAACCAAGGTACATGCCCTTGACCGGAATCAAACCCGGGACCCTTCAGTCCCCAAGCCGACTCTCTATCCATTGAGCCAAACCGGTCTCGGCAGAAAATATTCTTGACAAGTTCATGCTGTTCACGCTAGTTTCTTAGTCATATGTTGGTGATGTTTTACCCCAAGATTTTAGGGCATCCCTTCCCCATCTCATATAAATGCTGAACAGTTTAAAGGGCCACTTACATCTCACACACACACTTCTCTACCCTGACTTAAGTTTTCTCGGTAGATACTCAGTCGGAATATTTTTGTCCACTTGTCTATCCCTCGTGAGTCGGAGACTTGTGCCTACCTGTGTCCAGTCTGGGTCCCCAGAACCTGTAGCAGTGCCAGGCACACAATAGGTGCTCAGTGCATGCAGCAAAGCTGCCTTCCTTGCTCCCAGTGACAGTTCACTATGTCCCATGTTCATGGGCTCAACAGGCAGCCTCTGCTTTATCTACACAATCTCCCCAGGGCCGGGCACTGAGATGGAGATGATGATGTTTTTCCACAGGCACAGCCACTTCCTGCCTCCTGAGGACTCTGGACCATGTGAAAACTGGACAGGAGTGACTGGCCACTTACTTCCCCCAGCCCTGAAGAGTGACTGACCAGGTGCTATTCTGGGGGCCCTGGATATGGCCCCAGTCACTGGACATCGGGACTCAATAAATAAAGACTGTGTACACCAGGCTTTGATTCCTGCCTTCAGCACTTGAGGGCCCTAGACTCCCTGGGACTTCCAGAAGACGGCACAGGACATCCCTCACTCTCCAAAGGGCAACTCCCGTCTGTCACCGAGGGCTGTTTTTGTGGGCAGTGACCACCTAGCACTTCAGCCTGCACTGTGGGGTTGAGCGGCTCCTGCCATCAGAAGAGTCCTGAGCAGCACTCAGCACACACAGAGTGCTAAGCTCTGCATGCCTGTACCCAGATTTACCATTCAGACCTGTTGCTCCCCTGGAGGTGACTCCAAATCTTTAGAAATTGGAAGTGACTTGCCAGTGCTGACTAGATTGGCCATTTGAAGCCTGAGTCTTGTGCCCTGGCTTGGGAAAAATGAGCTAGATTGTGTCCTGGGATATGATCTTTAAGACAAAGGCAGTTGGCCTGGGAGCTAAGGTGTAAGTCCAAGTGGTCAGGGTGGAGGGAGCAGTGCAGTCCCTGAAGAGCTGTGGGATCTGGTGGCTTTTGTTTCCAGCTCCAGTTTCCTTGGGTTGTCTACTGATCCCTCCAGTTTCTGTGCATGTTTTTGGCCAACTTCACTTTGCTTGAGTGGGTTCTGCTCCATGTAACTGAGAAGTGTGATAACAGACAAAATCGAGACTACATTTCAGGATATCTTCAAGTAGGCTAGATCAGCTCCCTACGTGGTGACCTCAGGAGATCAGGGGAACCAAGTGGAAGCCTTAAACCTGTACCACACACCATTGGTCAAAGCAAGCCCTGAGACAGGAGTGACGGGGAGTGGAGGGGACAGCACGTCTCAATGGCATTTAGCTTGAAAGACTTTTTTCCTGTGTTTAAACTACCATAAAAACTTCATAGTTTCCATTCTTGGGTGTTGGTGAACTATTTTTATAAGAGTTTTTCACATGATAGGAATTTTCAAATTGCTATAAATTTGTTAAGAATATCATAACTCTTGTTTTAAGGTCTACAGAATCTAGTGAAAGCCCCATTTTCCTTTCTGAAGTTGGTTATTGTACCTTTTTTTTTTTTTTTTTTCGTCATCTTGACAGGACTTTCAATTTTATTAACCTTTTCACAGAATCTGGTTTTGGCTTTGTTGATGTCTCTATTTTTTATATATTAAATTTTCTTCTCTTTATTTCTTTCTTTTTGGATTTAATGTTTTGTTTTGGGGGAGTAGGTTGTTTTTATTTTGTTTGTTTGTTTTTTGCCTTTTTGACATGATTGTTTAGCTCACTGATTTTCAGTCTTTTTCTAATACATGCACTTAAATTTCCCACACAGCATGACTTTCTATTTTGCTTTTTGAAATTTATCTCAGATACAGAAATTTAAAATTGTGTTCCTTAATTTCTAAACATATAGAAATTTTTCTAATCATCTTGCATTTGGGATGGAAACAGGTTTTACATGATTTCCATTTTTTTTGAAACATGGGGAGACTTTATGGCTGGGAACACAGTCACTTGTGAATAATCCTTGGTTCATGTTACACTGTCTAACTTGGATTCTTCCAGAACCAGACAGGGACAAGGATTTGAGAGATTCCCCCAAACTGCATTAGAGGGCAGTGGGCAGTGACGGAGGCCAGGAAAGCAGCACCTCGGGCACATGGTCAAGCAGTTATCACTGTGGGCAGCAGCACTACCCTCTGGGACAGTTGAGAACACACTTCCCACTCCAGGTGCAGGCTCTTTATACACTAAACCCCATCATTCACCTTGTCGAGGCTACTTTGGAGGCTGGAGTTTCAAGTCCTTGCCACTTCCTGGGATTATATCAATGGTGGCCCCATTGTGGTCATTCACTTTGATGGCCACTACCTATTGCCATAGCTGCCATTGCCTAAGCCTGTTATGGCTGCCTCATCAGCATTTCTGATTGTCACTCCTCTCCCTTGCTCCAAGAGGGGCCACAGCTGCTCACCTTTTCCTTTTTTTGAGGTTGATCAGATTCCCCTGGAAGACACAGCCAAAGTCCATCAGAAAGAACCCCTTGGCCAGGACCCCTTGTGGGAAACAGGGAAAGACAAGACTAGAACCCAGGCCAGGCTCTGGGCTCCACAGGAGGGGGGACATGGATCACTATGATGGGAAAGATGCCCCAGGTCCCAGGGGAGACTGTGCTGAGACCTCAGGATTCAACATGGGGACTCTTTGTCCCCAAAGGCCAATCCTGGTTACCCCAGCTCAGGCCCCCAAGTCACCCACGTCCAGATAATCCTCTATCCTAGTCTAGTGTCCAGTATCTTCAGGAGAAGTCAGAAATTTGCCAAAGAAGGGAATACATTGGGCAAATAGGGTGAGGGTGGGCTAAGTCCCTGCTTTCAGGTGCCCACAGACCCTCCCCTAAAAACTTCCCACCTTCAGTCTCCTGAAGGGTTCTCATGTGGAGCAGCCCGGGTGCCTGAGGGCCTCCACTCAATTGCCTCCTCCCTCACTCTCTGGGAACCCCCCTTGAACACCTCCCAGTACCTCCTTTGGGCAAATCACAGGGTCAGTGGTCCCAGGCCAGCCCCACTACCATATCCATCTTGCAACCAGCTCCCCCAGGCCCTCCTCTTGGTCATTTCTAAGGGAGGGCTTTAGGTTCTGTGGGCACAGGAGGTGGGGCTGGAGCCCTTTTGTTACCCTGGCCTGTGGCAATCCTCATCCTTGGGGCAGGCAGAAGGCAGTCCCGGTGGAGGTGTGAAGACAGAAGGAGCAGCAGAGCTCTGGCATCCTGAGGACAGGCTGGGCCTGTTTGGTGGGGAGGGGAAGGAGGCAGGGAAGGATGAGAAGCCCAGCACTGGCACTGCATCACCATAGGCTGCCAGGACCTCAGCCGCCTGCCAGGCAGGTGTGCCCACTCAGTCACACGGCACATCTGACAGGCGTGGAGAAACGTGCCTCAGAGCAGTGCACCTGAGGGAGAAGAAATGAGACTTATCTGGTTCCTTCCTGCCCTATTCCTAGGGATCAAACTTTGCCCCCTGTATCCTCAGGCCAGGGAAATGTGTGGATATTTTGGTTTTAGGGAAATGACCTTTGAGAAAGGCAGGCCACTCAAAGTTCTATGAGTGACTCTGTCTTAACTGTGTTTGGGCTACTCTGACAAAAATACCATAAACTGCATGGCTTATTAGCAACAATTTATTTCTCATAGTTCTGCAGGCTGGGAAGTCCAAGATCATGGTGCCGGTAGTTTCAGTGTCTGCTCAGGGCCTGTTTTCTGGCTCATTGACAGCCCTCCCTTCACTGGGTCCTCGCTTTGTGGAAGGGGCACTAATGAATGCTCCACTCTCATGCCCTCAGCACCTCCTAAAGGGCCACCTCCAAACACCAGCACATGCAGCACATAGTTTCAACATTGGAATGGGAAGTGGGGGGGCAGCCCACAAGTATTCAGCCCTCTCAGCAAGCTCCTTCTTAGAATGAAGTCTTCTGAGAAGTGGCATTTGAGTCAAACCCTGAGGGTTGGCATTCCAAATAAAGAAATGAGGATGTACCCAGATAGCAAGACCACGAAGTGCAAGGAATGTTTGGGGACTCTCAAGAGATCATCTTAGTGCAGATATAAAGTTTCAGTCAATTTTATTTTTCTGAATAAAGAATTTGAACTTTAGCCCTAACTGGTTTGGCTCAGTGGATAAAGCATCAGCCTTTAGACTCAAGGGTCCCAGGTTCGATTCCTGTCAAAGGCATGTACCTTGGTTGTGGGCACATCCCCAGTAGGAGGTGTGCAGGAGGCAGCTGATCGATGTTTCTTTTTCACTGATGTTTCTGACTCTCTCCCTCTCTGTAAAAAAAATCAATATATTAAAAAAAAAGAATTTGAACTATATTTCTTAGGCCATAAGTTGTCTATTGAATATACAGTGGATATGTTTACTGATTTGAGAGAGGAAGGAAGACAGAGAGAGAGGAAAAAAAAAAAAAAAAAAAAACATCGATGGGAGAATCTTCAATCAATTGCCTCCTGCATGCCCCCTTACCTGGGATCAGACTACAACCTAGGTATGTACCCTGATTGGAAATCAAACTCACAACCTTTTTTGGTGTACAGGACGCTCAACCAATTGAACAACGGGGTTGGGGCTCCATTGATATTTTTAACCTAGAGATTCCACACAATGGTAGAGTAGAGCTCAAGACCGTTTTCTAGTTTCCATCAATGTGATATTGTAGTTAAATCCACGGAGGGGATGGGGACAGGGTAAAGCTGGGTTTCTTAATCCAGGTCTAGGGATCGCCTGGGGGTGTGTGTCTGTGAAACTCAGAAATTGCACGCAATGTTTCTGTGAGGGCATCCATGTCTTTCCTCAACTTTTCCAAGGGTCTGGCTTACAGGGCAGAGATCACTAGCAAAGAGAGAAAATCAGCATGCCCCTCACTTCCCCAATCCCACTGGGGGAGTGAGCAAAACCGGCCTGAAAGGTGGTAGCTCACAGTCAGGAGGCAGTTCAGGCCCGTCGTGACGGGACCGGAGAAGATGTAGCGGCCAGGAAGGTCCTGTCACAACACAGACTCCGGCTGACTGGGTCCTGCTTCTGGGCTCTGCGCTGGGGAAGGAGGTGGTACCGGCCGGGCGGACCCTGCACCCTCCGGCAGGCCGGGCCGGCGGAAGCCTGGACTCCGGCTGCTGCACCTCCCGCGAGACCTTCAAGTCCCGCCCCCGGGCCTAGCGCAAAGCAGGACGGGACAGCAAGATGGCACCTCCGTTTGATTTTAGAGCGGGGAGCTAACGCAGGAGCTCCTTATCTGCTGCTCACTCTCCCTCTGGAGCTGGGGACGGAGTCCCCGTGATGGACTCTGCTGTTACCCCAGGGGCGCAGCCGGGCCGCCGCGCCTGCTGCGTCCCGAGTCC